AAGTTGGTTCGATTACATACCGTATTTTTTGCTCTATAGGACGTACTTTTCCCCCTCCAAAAACTAAGGGGAAATGTGTGTGCGTCCAATGGAGCGAATGCAGGCTCCTTGGCTTCAGCGATAGCAACGCGAAGCCTCCGAAGCGCAGAGGGAGCGCTCCCTCCACACCCCGGAGGCTTCGTGTTGCTTTCGCTGAAGCTTGGAGAGCGCACTGACCCCTCTCGCTCTCCAGGCTTCAGCGAAAGCAACGCGAAGCCTTCGGAGCGCAGCGCGAGTTCCCACTGCGCTCCGCAGACTTCAGGTTCCTTTCACTGAAGCCAGGAGAGCAAGACTCTCCTGGCTTCAGCAGAGAGGGAGAGCTGCGCAGTGCCCCTTCAGCCAAGCAGGAGGAGAAATGGAAGGGGCTCCAATTCTCCTGCCGCTTCTCTGAAGGGGCGCTGAGCAGAGAGGGGGAGAATTTCCCCCCCCCCTTGTTCTCCCCCTCTAAAACAAGGTGCATCCTATGGTCCGGTGCGTCCTGTAGAACGAAAAATACGGTACTTTTTTCTCTCTTCCATTTTATTGGAAGATCGGCTGTTTTCCTTCTACCTGTAATATGTGTTGTGTTTATTTGTACTGAGTTGTACCTTTGTTCGGAGGGTTGGGCGCGTTTGGTGCCTTGTATTTCTCTAGGAATGGTCAAGCGGTATGGATTACATTAGAAATAAAAATAGTGGTTTTTTAAAAAAATGATCAGGTGTGGGCGCAAGCCTAAGCATAAAGTGATGCTTCCTTCCAAGGCACACCCTCTGCCCTTGGTACGGTAATTTCTAAGCCTGTCTTGGGTGTACAACAGAAGGAGATGGAGTTACCTCCTCTTTCTCTTCCCTGCAGGTATGTGGCTCTGATGGTGTGACCTACGCTAATGAGTGCGAACTCAAAAAGACACGCTGCGAAAAGCGACAGGATATCTATGTGACGGGTCAGGGCGGCTGCCGAGGTAAACTTCTCATGGGGGTCTGGCAAAGCTTTCAGTCAACCCACATCCCTTTGTCCTGCGCTGGCATCTCATCCTCTTGTTTACTCCCCGCCCACCTCCCTAGATCAGGGAAGGGAAACCCATGGCCCTCCATGAGTTGTTGGACTCCCAACTCCTATCATTTCTAACCTGTGTATTTTTATTTTTTGTTTTCTCCATAGGAACCACAATCCTACCTCCTCCACTCCTCCACTGCAGCCAGACCGTTTATGGATGCTGCCCAGACAATGTGACCTTGGCTCTTGGTGTTGGCTCTGCAGGCTGCCCCAGTGAGTTAAATATGTACTTCATTTTCTTCTTTTGTCTTGTGACAGTAGGGATCTTAAACACCGATGCCATAGGGCTTCCCCGAGCTGAAGAAATAGCTTTCTAAGGCCAGGGAGTGATCACAGGCAGTCATACCTAGAGCTGGATCTGAAGTTGTTGTTGTTGTTTAGTCGTTTAGTCGTGTCCGACTCTTCGTGACCCCATGGACCAGAGTACGCCAGGCACTCCCGTCTTCCACGGCCTCCCGCAGTTTGGTCAAACTCATGTTAGTAGCTTCGAGAACACTGTCCAACCATCTCGTCCTCTGTCGTCCCCTTCTCCTTGTGCCTTCAATCTTTCCCAACATCAGGGTCTTTTCCAGGGAGTCTTCTCTTCTCATGAGGTAGCCAAAGTATTGGAGCCTCAGCTTCAGGATCTGTCCTTCCAGTGAGCACTCAGGGCTGATTTCCTTAAGAATGGATAGGTTTGATCTTCTTGCAGTCCATGGGACTCTCAAGAGTCTCCTCCAGCACCATAATTCAAAAGCAGCACCTCTAATGCAGAAGGAGCTGATTGCAGGAGGCAGAAGATCTTGCTTGAAGCTCAGGCAAAAGCAGGAAACTAGGTCCTGATATTTACATCAAGCCTGTCCAGTCCAGAGATCTGCCAATCCCGGGGGGTGATGCTGAGCACAACCTGCTCGCCTCTTGTGCCTGAAGATGGCAGGCACAGAGGGAGAACTCTGGATTTGTAGTCCCATTCTGAGCACATTCCTGCAGGCGCTCATTGTCTGAGTTTGCCATTAGAGGGGGTGATGTGTGCATTCATTGCCTTGGCCCCTTCCCTTTCCTATAACCTCAGAATGTGCCCAGTGTTTTAAACTGCGTGCATCCCAATTGCAGGGCCCCCTTCCTCTTCGCTGCAGCCGGCCACATCCGCAAAGGTTTTATTAATATTTTATAAAATAATTAGCCGGAAACGGCTCTTTAACCTAACGAGATGAGAAAGCATTAGGAACATTTTTAACAGCTGAGGCTGACAGCCAGCTGGTTCACGGGTATCCATTAGGGCATCGGCTGGTCTGTGGCCATCGTAGGCGAGCGTGCCGAGATGAGGCAGTCTTGATTGGGGATGTAGAATCATTTCATGCGCCATATAATTTAATAAGAGGAAGCGTTCTGAAAGCAGCTTTAATCGCTCGGGAGCTCCTGGGCTGTGGAGCCACAGAGGTCACCAGTAAGGGTGGGCAGCGGGGAGGGGCTGGCTGGCTTCTCTCATGGTGCCACACTGACTGCTTCTGCAATGTAGCCACTAAGAGACTGAGCCATGATTTGGGCCTCATCTCTGCTATTAAGGTTCAGAAAAGGGCAAGCAAAATGATCCGCAGGGTGGAGCAACTCCTCTACAAAGAAAGGTTATGACATTTGGAGCTGCTTCTCCTATTTTTGGTTTAGAGCAAAGATCTGTATGAGAAGACATGAAGACAGAGATGTGCAGAATTCTGCATGGCACGGAGAAAGTGGATAGAGAAAAGGTTTTCCCTCTTTGCATCTCCAGGAGATGCAAAGAGGTTCGGGGAACGTTTTTTACAAGTCCACCACATATGAAAGGAGTATTGGCAAATGTTCCATAATGAATGGAAGAAAATGTTTAAAAGTACTTCCCCCCCCCCCAAAAAAAACCAGAGTCCTTTCTGTTGGGTTCAGGCTGAAATTCCCTGGTGTCAAAAAAAAAGAAAAAGGTTATTTATGTATGCCACTACTACGGCCCATGTTTTGTTAGCCCCAAAATGGAAAATGAGCGAGGTCCCAACCAAAGAATAGTGGCAACTTAAGTTGACAGAATATACACAGCTTGCAGACTTAACATATAGAATAAGAGAACAAGAAGAACATACTTTTAGAGAAGATTGGAAAACGTTTATTGAATATATTAGAAATAACTGTACAGCTGAAAATGCTGGCAGCATTAAGATAAATTCAACAGTGTAAATAAGTTACGATGGATGTAATAATGGAATACTGAATGGTATAGTTTCTGTAAAATATACAGGGATTTATGATATGTAAAATGAACCATGGAAAGAGAAGAAAGGAAGTCATCAATATCTTAAGGATGTAAAAATGAGTACTTTAAATTGTAAAACAGAAATATATATATATATATATATATATATATATATATATATATATATATTAGAGAGAAAAGGTTTTCCCCCTCTCTCATATAATGCTAGAACTCAAGGAATGAAGCAGAACATTGGAAGATTTCAGGAGAGACCAAAGAAAGTCCTTTCCCCTTTGGAATTCGCTGCCACAAGTGGCAGTGATGGCCACAAACTTGGATGGCTTTAAAAGAGGATTATATAAATTCATGGAGGACAAGGCTGTCAGTAGCTGCTAACCATGATGGCTTCATTCTACCTCCCCTGTCAGAAGCAATATGCTTCTGAATGCCAGTCGCTTGGAATTGCAAGGGAGGAGAGAGGACTCTTGCTCTCAAGTCCTGCTTGCAGGTCTCCCATAATGGGTATCTAGTTGGCCATTGCGAGAAGAGGACCAGGCGGGCCGCTGGCCTGATCCAGCTAGCTCTCCTTATGTTCTGATGCACCAGATGGGTTCCAGCAATGCATTATCTTGCACCGCTCCATACCATGCCACCCACCTTAATGTGCAATATTGGGATAATAAGGCAGACCTACTGTCACGGTCCGGTCTATGGGTGATTGAAGTCCTGGCTGAGGACGTCGGGACTGGGGGCAAGATGGCAGGGTGGGAGCAGGAGCAAGAGTCCAGAAGCCAGGGGTCTGAGGGTCAGGAAGCCAAGGTCCGAGGATCAGGAAGCAAGAAGCCAAATGCAGCAAGGCAGGAAATGTGTTGCTGTGGCAAAGAGCTGAAGGGAAATGCTGACCTTATATCCCTTCCCGGCTCTTGCCACCAGGTGCAGTGAGTTACCCAACGGCCTCACCTGTGTGGCCGCGCCTTGTCTCTCCAGAACAAACTTAGGAAGGCCCCAGTCCTGCGAAGCCCTACTGGTCACAGGGCCTGGCTCCTGCACACACTCCTGACACCTACCTTATACGGCATGTCTCTGTGAGAGTTGCAAAGCTAGATGTCTGTGAAGCAGCCATTTAAAAACTTGTTGGCTCTAAGAAGCCTTCACCATAACCTGCCACAAAAAGTGCAGGGTATGGCAGAGGCATTGTGGGGAGTGTTCCAGGCTGCAGACTCAGTTGACATCAGACTCGAGCCAGGATTGTCAAGCCTCACTTTTCACCCTGCCTGAACTAGAACGTGCCCAGAACATAATAAGGATTAGCAACGTGGCTTAGGAGATGATTGGCAGTAGGAGGGTGAGAGTTCTTTTTCAAGGAAGCTTTTCTGCTGTAATTGATCACTTAATTGAGGAACATCCACAGAATCCCAGGCGTCTGCAGGACACCATTCGAAAGCAATTGCTCTTGATCAGGGATAGCCAGTGCAATGCCCTCTGCTTGTTGCTTGACTCTGACTTCCATCTGCCCCAGTCGGCATAGCCAGAGGTCAAGTATGATGGGAGCTATAGCTCCAGTAACACCTGGAGGTCAACAAGCTGGCTGCCCCTGCTCTATTTCATCATTTTTATTAATTATTACTGTTTTTTTAGGTGGTCCTTGTAATGGCCAGTGTGTGGTGCTACATGCCATCAGGCCTGTGCATTTCTTCTGTGTCCCCGTGGTTTGCATATTACACGGAAAGGCCATAGCTTAGTGGTTAGAGCATCTGCTTCTTGTGCAGAAGGTCCTAGGTTCAATCCTTGGCATCTCCAGGTAGGGCTGGGAGAGGACCCAGTCTGAAACCCTGCAGAGCTGCTGCCAGTTAGTGTAGACAGTACTGAGCTAGGTTGCCCAAAAATCTGACACAGCATAAGGCCTAACCATACGAGTATCCATAGGTCTATGGTACAGCACCTGCTTTGGGTGCAGAAAGTCCCACATTCAGACACCATCATCTCCAGGTAGGGCTGAGAATGATTCCTTTTCTTAAAACCCTAGACAGCCACTGCCAGTCAGTGTAGACAGTACTGAGCTAGATGGGCCAATAGTCTGATTCAGTATAAGACATCTTCCTATTTTCCTGTTTGCAGAAACTAGCATAGGGCTTCCCCACCTTGAGATCTTCTGCCTTCATGGAAGGTGGGATGGAGTGTGGGGAAAGGGGCAGTGACAGTCCTCTAGGCTTGGAATTCCCACAGCTGTGAAGGTGAGCTTAAAAACATCCAGGTGTTGTGTTGTGAGATCTTAGAGCCCTAGAAAGGACAAGAGGAAAAGCAATGATCATCAGGTTCAGAGCAACCCAGTTTTCAGTCACTCATACCTATTGCTCATGGCGTTAGGCATCACTTCCCCGTTTGTCAAGCCAGCTCCATTTGCGCCCCCTTCCTAAAGTTTATCCGCTGTGTCTTGAATCAAACCTCTCTTTAACTTGTGTCTCGCTCATGCCCTTGCGTCCACAGCAGGGGGTATAAATCAAGATGTAATCACCGGCCTGAAAACTGTGCTGCAGGACTCAGATTTATTCCCTGCGGCCAGCTTCTGCAATAATTCCCCCCCCCTCTAGTGTTTTCCTGCAATGGAAGGAAAACATTCAGCGTCACATAAGCCACTTTGGTTTGTCCAAGAATCTCTTTCTGGCCTGCCTCAAGAGTGAGCAGCTTCAAGGGGAATGGATTATCTGCCTATATCTGCCCAGGAACCAATGTACTTGTACCTGCTCCCATAGAGGAACAGACAGAGGGTTAGACCGTGGGTGCATCCACATTTGATTCCCAACAGCTGGGAATTTGCATGCAGACAGCAAGGAGCAGATGGACCTTGGCTGGGAAGTTTTGCATGGCAATAAGCAGATGAAATCTGAGAACAATCTCTTTTTGACATTGTGCGAGAGAGCAGCTCCACATAGCGGGGCAGAAAGTAAACAAGGATGGAAGAGGGAAAGCCCTACAAAATCGTACAGCTTGAAAAGTAGAGTTCCTTAAAAACCATGTACTGTTTTGTTTCAATTGCTAGTATTTCTCAAGAAACAATTTCACAGGAGAAATATGGAATGTGATAGTGGACATAGAACTCAGCTTTCTGAGAATCCCAGGTTGTTATTATTAGCTTCTTTGTCCTTCTCCTCCTCCTGTTCCTCCTCCACCAGTTTTCAGTGCTTATCGCGGCAAAGAAAGTGTTGGGAGGCAACTCAGTGTTGCCTTAGCTCAATGATACAGCATCTCCTCAATAGAAGGATCAGGCAGTATGTGATGGGAAAGACTCCTTGTCTGAAATGCTGGGGTTCCCCTGCCAGTCATTGTAGACAATCCTGAGCTAGATGGACCAGTGCTCTCACTCAGAATCAGGCAGATTTCTTTATTATTATTATTATTATTATTATTATTATTATTATTATTCTACCCCACCCATCTGGCTGAGCTTCCAGCTAGAGAAGAGACTGAATAAAGCACAACAGCATACCTCCATTGCTCGCCAACCCCCCATTATAAATTATGAAAAGCAAATAAAAGTAGGATGCTGTATAAAATAAGACAATCACACAATCCTGCATAATTTAGATAGGTCACGGAAACTGGTTCATTTTTTAAAAATATGAAAGAAGGCTCAGATTCTTAGGAACCAGAATCCTGTGGCTTTTCTGTGTCCTTTGTTGATTTGCAAGCATATACAAAACATTTCCACAGCTACCACTGTTCTTTCCCACCTCCATTTCTTTCTTCTCAATCACTATGTTTGAGGGCTTCCAAAGGTTGGCATGATATACTAGCTATTTGTTATTTGTGATCTGCACAAAGCCCTCTCTTCCTCTAAAGGGCTCAGGAGAGAGGCAAAGCTTACTTTCACATGTGCCAGGGTTTCGAGGAAACAGCAGGGTCTTTTCCAAGCCATTTGAGAGAGTTTCTGCTGTTTTCTGAGCTTCACTTCAGCTTCTGCAGAACTTGGGGGACGGGATCTGTGCGCTGCTTAAGTGTTTTGCTTTGGGTGCTTGTCCTTGGCAAGTAGATTTGTAGAATACAAGGCAGTGGCTGCTAGCTGAGATGGCTATGTTGTATCTCCAGGCAGCGTTTCTCTGAATGCCAGGTGCTGGGAATCATAAGTGGGGAGATCCCATTTGATGTCAGATCCTGACTTGAGGCTTCGCAGAAGCATCTTGCTGGCCACTGTGAGAACAGGATGCTGGACCAGCAACAATGGCTATGCCACGCCTCCACAGTCGGAGGCAGCAAGGCCTGTGAATACCAATTGCTGGAAGCTTCAGGAGCAGAGAGTGCTCTTGTGCTTGGGTCCTGCTTGTGGGTTTCCCACAGGCATCCAGCTGGCCACTGAGAAACTGGACGTTCTTATAACTAGATGGGCTATTGCTCTGACCCAGCAGGGCCCCTTTTATGTTATTAAACATATCTGACCTCCTACCCGTCTTTTGCAGGTACCTGCCACTGTAACCCCTACGGTTCCTATGGAGGCAGTTGTGACCCTGCCACGGGGCAGTGCTCCTGCAAACCTGGCGTGGGGGGCCTGAAGTGCGACCGCTGTGAGCCGGGCTTCTGGAACTTCCGTGGCATTGTCACCGACAGCAAGAGTGGCTGTACCCGTGAGTATTGCAGTCTCAACCACGAAGGGGAAATTTTTGCCAGGAGATCCTGGAGGTTTGCATGACTCCTGCCCAGCATCAGCAAAGCTGTTTGGTGGCAGAGTGAATGTTGACGTTGCATTTTTATCGCATGCTCTTGGGAAGGTGCAGTAGATCAATAGTGAATCAGGCCTTTTGCATGCAGAAGATCCCAGGTTCATTTGTTTTCCAGCACCTCCATATAAAAAAAAGGGTCTGGTGGTAAATCATAGAATTTTAGAGTTGGAAGGTACCCCAAGGGTCGTTTAGTCCAATTTTAGGAATCACAGCTGAAGAATCCCTGACAGATGACTATTTTTAAAACAGTGAAAGAGAGTCCACCACCTTTTGAGGGGGTCCGTTCGACTGTCAAGCAGCTCTTACTGTCAGAAAGTTATTCCTAACGATTCACAGAATCATAGAATTGTAGCATTAGAAGAGACCCTGAGGGTCATCTTGGCCAATCCACTGAAATGCAGAAATCTCTTTTCATGTAATTTGAATTCATTAGTTTGGGTCCTGCCGTGTGGTGTAGCAGAAAACAAGCTTGCTCTATTTTCCATGTGGCAGGCCATTAGGTGCTTTAAAATACGAAGCTAATTGGATCCATGAGACTTGATATAAGGCAGTTTCACATATCCAATTGTCTTTTGCATGCAGAAGGTTATCTCCCTGTTGGGCTGGGGAAGACCTGCCTAAGACCTTAGAACAGCTGCCTCCAACCTGGTGCCCTCCGGATGTTTTGGATTACTGCTGCCATCAGCAGACTCCCATGCTCTTGGTCTGAGGTCTGCTCATTTTCAGACTGTTTTGGCCTTGGCAGTCATACAAGGAGCAAACCCTCCTTGGAAGCTGACAGACTCCATGCCCGCGCCCTGCAAGACCAAATCTGTGAGCAATAACAACGTCCAGGTCTGGAGGTCAGGTCACATCCACTGTATGTGGCATGAAGTTGTTTTTCAAAGAGTTGCAGCATGGAGCCAGATTTACAAAAGGTCTGCCTTAGGTTCAACTTGTGTGTTAATTTGAAACAGATGAGCCTGTGCTTGTAAGATGTGGAGCAGGCCTTGCGGCAAGGGAAATCGCAAAGCCCTGTCAACAGGCTGGAGGAAGCTGATCTGACCAATTCCGTCTTGTTAGTTCATGGGAGTTGAAAACTCCAGATGTTAAGTGGAAGCTTTCCCCCTCCAATCCCCTTCTAATAATAATGTTCTGCAAAAACATACCTTTCCTTTCCTCCAGATGGTAGAGAAATTTGTTCTGATGCCTTCCAGATGCTGGCCATGGGAGAAACCCGACACTCTCTTTTCCAGATGTTAGTAATAACCATTTTGGGTTTCACTTAGCCAGATGTTAGTAGTAGTCCCCATGAGAAATGTATTCTTGCTCTCCTCCAGATGTTAGCAGAAGCCCCAAATTTAATCCCGCCTGTTGTCTCCAGCTGTAGAAATGAATATTTTGCCAGCTGACTGAATAGGAATCAACCTACATTTTGTTCCTAGCTTGAAGGTGTTAGGTTTTCCTGCAGACTTCAACCTTCCACTTCATAAGCTTTTAGTTCTTATTCCTGAGGTGACACGTGGCTGAAGGCTCAGTAAAACTGATGAACCATCCACCATGCTACATTTACATTTATTAATGTGAAACAACAACAAATATCTTTCAGAGTATCTACTTCCAGTGCAACTTGCAGTGATACGAAATTAAAAACAATAAAACAAAAAGAACAGATTCACACATACAAATAACTATATCAATGTTTTATTTAATTTTATTTCTTACATTTATATCCTTGTCTTTACTCTAAGGAACTAAAGGAAGCTTATGTGGTTCTTGCCCCCTTCCTCTCCACTTTATCCTAACAACCTCCCTGTGAGATAGCTTAGGTTAAGTGATATGATGGCTGTCCCAAAGCCATCCAGTGAGCTTCATGGGTGAGGGGGGATTCAAATTGCTACAACTTTCCAGTCTGACACACTAAACACTATATAAGCACAACAGCATAGTAAAACCCAAGTTAAGTAGTGCCTTAAAAAGAAGAGGGGGAATTAAAAAGGCTCCACCTAGTGGTTATGAAAGGAGGTACCAGGTAAGCTTTCTTGACCGGGTACCACAACTTAAAAGGTCGCCACTTGCCTAACTCTGGTCATCATAGGTCACTAG